CGTACTTAGTCGCGATTTAATGTAAAATTCTAGGGATCCTACGAGAAGATTTTATAAGCATGTCACCAGTATTTTCGGTCTCGAGGTAGCAATATAATCAATCCCTGCTTGGTCTGAGTAAAATTGTTTAACCCAAGTCTTTTATCGAAGTAATTTGCCATTGGTAGGCTGAAAAATTACTTTCTTGCCAAGTTGAAATTTTTTGCACAGGATACATAGCTTGTTGTAGTTGCTGTTGTGACCTCAAAAAGCTTTCCCAAAACATTTTCTGGAATGCTGTCGAATTGACATTGATATTTGGTCGAATAAAAAGCTGGGCCTGTTCTAATTACGTAAATCCTACTTTCGTGGAATCAGTCAAATAAAAGTCTGTCTGTGCAAGTTCTTAAAAAGTTAAAACTTTGAAACAGTCCGTCAGCAGACAACGACGCCCCCGTCAGAGTCACGTTGTTGTTTCACGAGGCGGTGAACTAAGTGTATTATGAAACCCCGCACCGTGAGGAATACATTTATTCACCGATCTTTTAAGTGCCGTAAACATCTTTTGAAAAATAGAGGGTATCAAATTTTGACTACAGTGGCTCTCTTTCAATCTTAACCCAACAATCCCAAAGAACTGATTTCCGCTTTTAAGACATTGGTTGCTATTTTTAACCTATTTGTACAGCACAATAATGTGTACCCCTAGCTTTTTCCAAAAAAATTATAATCCGAGCCTTTAGGACTTCTGTTGGAAGCCACTTCCGAATATACAAGATAAAAACCGTTATTAAACTTTGATCTCATTTCTTAATATAACCCTACTTTGTTAGACAATCTGTTGCTGTTCCAGTTCATAATGATAATGGGTCCTGAAAAGGATCACAAATAAACTTTTATCGCGGGTTAAACAGCTAAACAAACCGTAACATTTTAATCGAGTTAACACTTTAAAGTGCACATATTTAATCTAATTTAACCATTTAAGCTCGGTAATGTGCTTCCGATATGGCAATGCTCGGATTTGCTTGCAGCAAAAGTGAAAATTAAGGCATCAAACATATTTATGTTCGTAAGTGAGCTCCCCCTAGGCTTGCTGTGCTATTTTATCCACACCCTCATCTCATTATGGTTTATTCATGGATTATTGTTGTTGATTTAGTTGTAGCTTACAAATTGTGCTTCGCTTCCAAAAGCGCCCGCGGCGAAGTGGGCGGTGCCAACAGCTTCGACGCCACACGAATGTCATCACTTTCTTGCTCCGTTTTTTTTTTTTTGTTTTGCTTTTACTCAGCAATGTGGACTATGAGTACGTTTGCTGGGAAGGTGTAAGTGGGGAAGTGTTGTTGTTGTAAGCGTGGCATTTGCTATGAGGCTTGAGGTTAAAAGAAGAGTGGGGTTACATTTATGAGTGTTGGTTTCTCCGTTTTTTGTTTATCGCGTATTTGCTTGTAGTGTGAAAATTAGACAAGTAAATAATGTGTGGTTATGTTTATATCTATATTTACAGATGAGTGAGGAATGGAAGGAATAGTCGATATTTTACAATGCTTAAACAGTAAGCTCGCAACTAAGTAAGAGTTTTGTTGTGAAACTGGCAAGTTGTTCTATCAGTTTTCTCTCCGAAGTTTTTAAGAGAGTTTCAGAAAGTCTGAGTTCTCTCGTTGCAATCAGTTCTATGTATTGAGAACGAACTGTAAGTTTTCTCTATTCAAACGTTTTTGAAATGATTCAATTCAACGGCTTTTGTCGAGCCGTTTGAGTCTGATTTTTTCATTATTCATCAATAATCTTCAAACAAAATCGTCATAGAAACTAGACTCATAAAAAAAATGTGTACTAAAGTGTTAATTCCACGGATAATATTGGCAATCCATAGAGTTATTATTTTTTCACACACAATTTTATGATATGTAGTAACAATTTGTCGAAGCAAACGTCAGAAAATAATGAAGAAGCTCAGCAAACTCGACTAGTGTATTTTTAATTTAGCTCAAGAGTTTCCGGAAGAGCTCATTCTGAAACATTATCATTTTGAAAAAGTTCTTAAGGGTATATTAGCTGCTGCTCTTAGTGTTCAAGATTTTTAGAGCTGTAACCTTCAGATTTATTTATAAAACAGAGTTACACACATTTTTCTTAAAACCTATTATTTCCCTCTCTCGCTCTCTCTCTCTCTCTCTCTCTCTCTCTCTGTCTGTCAGATTTTCAGACAAAAGTTTGGCAAGAAAATTTTGTAGTTTTTGGTACACTTCGTTCGGCGTTCTTTTTTGCCTTGGATTAACGACCTGACGTTTTTCTCGAAAGCAGATCTTATGATTAGATCATATTTCCAGACAAACTTTTGAAGTGTACAAAAAAGCGGGCGTTTAACCACTTGACACTTTTTTCGTTGTTTCTCGATTTCATGAAATAATTACCGAAAATTTTTGGGGAAGGCGTTTGGTTGGTGCCCAGTAATATCTTGATCTCTGTGCGTCGCCATCTGAGTGGTTTGATTCTCTCCAATAAAAAACTGCATTTGTGCTATATCCCTCAGTTTTTGAGATATCGACCTGAAATTTATTTTTTTCTTCAAGAAGCTGCGCATTTGTCTAAACCGCCGATATCGGACAACTATAACATATAGCTGCCATACAAACTGACCGATCGAACTTATGACCCTGTATGAAAACCTTTTTATTTGACGAGATATCTTCACGATATTTGGCATAGATTATTATCCAAGGCGTCAATGCAACCTTCGAACATATTGTCCAGATCAAACCAATATAGCATAGCAGATCAAACCAATATAGCATATAACTTGAGCTGTGATAACTCGCTTAAAAAACTTGAGAAAACATCAGTGCATTTACAATAAAGCTAAATTAATGCAAATCATGAAACTAGTGTTGTTACGGCAATAGCACAAAATATGCCACAAAGAGGTATGATTATAGTGGGAAGAGCTGTTATAATTGGAATGAAGCGTGCAAGCTTCAAATTGACCATCTCATTTATAGTCCTGCTTGCAGCCTGAGGCAGCCTTTCTAACCTCATCAAACTCTGTCGACTGCACTAAATGTTCTTGTTATTGTTATATATTTATGCTACTTTTCCCCTCCAAATTTCGGTCTTTTTTCTATGACCCCGGGTATAAAATAATCATATTGTATAAATTGTATGCAAAATGAAGATACATCAAACCGCAAGTATATCGACAGACAGCAGCAAAATCACCGAGCGGAAATCCGTGGGTGTAACTGGAGCAAACAGCGGTCGCAAGTGGCAGCCGCAGCAATCAACACATTTATAGCGACGCCATGTGACGCTGTTAACGGTCTCAGTCTCAGTCATTGCAGTCTGTCTAGTAGGAGGATTTCTTTTTCGCAAAACAAAAAAAAAAACAGAAAATCAACAACAACAATATGTGCCCACAGCAGCCGTTGGTCGCATACATAACAACAACAACTTGTGTATTTTTTAAGTGCCGCTCCTAACGGTACATTTTTTGTGTCTTCCATTTTTGCGCAGTCACCAAATTGCGAGCAATAATGTCCAATCCAAACAAATAAAAAAAAGTAAATAAATAAATTTTGCTTGGTCGGGAAGTGAACGTTGGTGGCATTTAATGCTGTTGTAATTGTGGGTGGACACCCACTGTGGCATAAATTGCGTCCGGTGCACGCACAACACATCACATCACCACTTTTGTTGTTGTTGTTTGCCGCATAGTCGTTTTTTAGCCACAAGCAGAGCATATGCATAGATGTGTGTATGTGTGTGTGCCTGTGTGTGTGTGTGTGTCCTTCAATATATTGAATTAATGCATGGATGTATGTATGTGCTTTTTTGGTGACTCTTCACTTTGTTGTTACATTTCGCCATCGCAAATTGCGTATCATAAACGCCGCGGGTGGCATCTTCGGCAAATTCGACTTCTCGCTCTAATAGTTTCCGTCTGCAACGCCTACGACATACTCGAACGGTAAATTGCTTCGACCGCTGTATTTGGCAATAATAAACGCACGAGTGTGTCTGCGTGTGTGAGTGTGTTTAGTCTGCTCCCCGCATATCGCCTCTCCTCATCTATACTCATCTACTTGTAGTGACTTTTTTATTTCGTACAAGATTAAAAAAAAAGTCAAAAAAGCAACAAAAAAAATTAATTTCATTACGCAATGAATTCTTAATATGTTGCCTTCTCCCGTTTCTCCGAAATACTCCACGCCATCGCATCACCTGAATCTGCTCTGCGTAATTTGTGTGTTGTAGCGGGTGGCTACCTTCATCATCGAGCAGCTCAACGCTGTTCGTCATCGTCCTTGTATCGGCTAATCAGTGACACGACCGTTCAACGGTGATTTATTCGTGGCATTTTTGACACTTTCCCTTTGTGGTCTGGAGATTTACACATTGATACCCATTTACCTGCACCCCCGTGTGGCTGTGACCTCGTAAAGCAAAATGCTAAAATGCTGCCACATGGTATAGCTCGTTTTGTACACGAAGTGACTGCAAAATGTCATGCATGCCGCACACACCGTTTTTCGTACGTGCGATTCTAATCATTACAGTATTTAAAGTGCATTACTAAAAGGCAATTAATTTGTGACCAAAGTGTTTGAGCACTTAAAAGGATACAATAAACAGGAGAGCTATGAAGGCGATAAAGAGATAGAGCGATAAGAGAAAGGTAGAGAGAGAGAGAGAGAGAAACAAAAAAAAATTATTTTGATTGAAATATAGTGGCGACGTTGTTTTTGTATCAGCGCGAAAAAATGCTACGAATACTTCCGGTAATACATCCGTATTGTGAATCCTTGGCCGGATATAAATCCGTTCGCTTTGGTTACAGAAACCCGTCTGTATTGGGAATGAGTTATGCTGACTGCTGACAACAAGATGAACTGATCAACTGTTGATTAATCACCATGGTGAGCTGTAGACCTACTTTTCAATAGAAGTTGGTTCTGCGTAACAAGAAGGGACCTATTTCTTTATCCGGTCTCAACAAAATTTCTGGCGGTGTTCCACTTTATTCGCTTTAAGATCAGATGTCAAAAACGTTTCTAAAAACATTCTTCTATATCGACCAATCTACTATAGTTATAAAGACAACCAGGGAAATGGAGACACATACTCGTTTCATGAAGGCTATACATTTATGGACGGTTTTCGGTAATTTTAGAGGGGGTTTGCCATATATTAAGGTCACTAGTTGGGTTAAATTTTGCTCCGATGCGTTTAATGGAATATAGGCCTGGTTGGAGTCGGAATTTTTTGCAGTGTTCAATCTGTCGAAATCCTGGAAATACTTTATAGCTAAAATTGATATAATTGAACGAATGCCTTGTAAAGTATAAATGATGAGCTTTATTATTACCCGATCCTTCACATATTTATATCTGGCATAAGATGGTAGATAACATCCAATGTTGTGTTGGGATAACTCTTATTGTTTATTAAACCATCTAAAGTTCGTGACCCGGCCCAATTTTCGGAAACTGTAAAAACACACATATGACTCCCCCAGGGATTCGCTGAGTTTCGCAGGTTGATTAGTTAGTTACGTAGGAGGACTGACAGACATCTTGATACATACATATATATTTATTCCTCGATTATTTATAACCTTATTCTTAGGTGTGGCAAACAACAATTAGGTGAGTAAAACTATTATTCTTGATTATTTTCATTATGTTGCGACTAGTAATCTAGCATTGTTCTAACATTAGACAAAATAACATAGAAATGTATTTCACTTACCTTTATCCATGAGTTCGTAAAGTTCATAGATGTATGTACATACAATTAAAATACATCAACGATGCACCACATGTAATATTTACCGCCTGAACGATACAACCCTTCTACTGTCCGACATTTTCTCCTAACCTGCTAACCACCATTTAGTATGTCCTCCATTCTATTCTAATTTCCGATAAACATGATATAGAGTAGAGGGCGAACCCCTCAGCAAACAAAGCTACATCCCAGTGTATATCCATAATTCTTATAAAAGGCCATAGAAGTTCCGATGCGGCTTAAATTCTTGGATGATATTGAGGTTTATACCACAGAAGAAGAAACTCGAATAAGTATGTAACAATGGTACAAGCATTCATTGCAATTAAGTTTAAAAATAGCTATTTCCGGTTTCCACTTAATTTGCTACCGTCACACAAATTTCAAGCTTTTAAAATTCAGTTTTTAAGACTATGACATTACAGCTATGTCAAATATTGCAGCTGAGCGTTACTGCGCAATAATATTGAACAATATATTTCTTTGGGTTTGAGCTAAACTCAGCAAGATTCCATATTTTCTTGCCCACCATACCATTACAAAACTTTTAGTTTTAATATTCAAAACTAAAGAAATTATGTAAAAAAAATAATATATATATAAAACTAGATTTTGAGTTACATATTTAGTTGCCACTAAATGTATGTATTCAACTTGGCAACACTAAAAAGTTTTGGGAAAGAAGCAACATTGGAAGGGGAGCTAAAATATTGGAAACTGTAACAGAGAACGTATGATATGATATACGTTCTCTGACTGTAAACAAAACAAAACAAATTCTAAAGAAGAAAGCGAGATTTTTTTCATTCTTGACGCCGCATTGACAATGGCAATAATTATTACTTTGCATAAGTTTTATTACCAGATATAACTTATACTAATATAATTTAAAAAACTAAAGAGAATATTGAAAGTTTATGATGTGTTAGCGCAGCTTTTAGAATAAAAGTTTTTGAGAAATTTCATCAAAATTTGTATTGACGGTATGGAGATTTAAAAAAATTTCTAGTAATTCCAGTGATAACATATTCGCGAAAATTTTTATTGCCTGTGTAAGCAGTAAGTCATTGAGTCCACTAAAATGCAGAATCTTCTTCTGAGGAAACGTCAAACAGCTGCACAAAGCAACAGGAAACAACAACAACACAAATAACAACACGTTCAACAATTGTGGGTGCAGCTGCGGTTTCGGCCATACTACATTTTAAATAGACTTTCTTACCAATTCACAAAGAAACATATTTGTTTGCAATTTCTTATTGAAAAAATGTAAAACGCCGAAATTCAGATTAAATAACAACAATCATTATTTTGCAACTTACATGTACTAATACAAAGAAAAAGTGCTTATTTAAAAAAAAAAACAAGTTTGTAACATATTGAGTGTCGGAAGAACAAATTGAGTACGTCGAGAATTAGAGAAGAGCTTAAAAAAAAAAAGAGTATTAACAACAAAATATGAATTCCTAGAGCGAAAGCATCAAAAGCTAGGGACTGGCGAGGCAGTGGTAGTGACGGTGGTAGCGTCTTCAAGAGTAGTTTGGCAAAAAGGCAAAAATATTACAAACCGTTAACGTTGTTGTGCTACGAATTGAGATGGTGACGGTGACGGTGAGTCGTCAGCTAGAAGTCATGATCTGTGAGTCTCGACACTTGCGTTAGTACGTTTTGGCCACATCACGCAGACGGTCGGCTAACGACGGTTCAGCACGATCAATGCAAATACGCTAGGTAGTAGCGGTAAAACTGGATTTGGATTTCTACAAAATTGTGCCATAGCGAAAGAAGTACAAACTAAACGACGATTAAGCACACTAGCCAAAAAGCTAATGAATTAACATTAGCATAAAATTCCATTTTCGATTGGTATAGAATCAAAGGCGAAAGTTGTAAGTTAGAGTGTAAGTGTTGTGTCGTAACATACTACATATAACATAAATGAGAGCAGATTTCTTACTATCGGAATAATTTGTTCCGTGGTCGTAGCATACGGTAATGCGTATACCGTTGACGGCGTGCTTACATCCCTGCTCCTTTAAGTTTGAATACGGCAACAAAAAAACACCCACTCACCGTCATAATTGTACACTCAACCTCCCGCATACGGCACCTAGCTAGCCCCTAGCACGACACCATTAAACATGTTGCGTTCTTTGCGTCCCTTGCGTTCCTGTTACGGCAAAACAATAATTTTCGCATTGGCCACGCTCTGCTTTATACTTTACATTAAAGTGCTGCAAGTAGAGGACACAATACGAGAAGCACAAAGTCAAAATGCAAAATTAAAAGGCTTACAGGAGCAAAACGATGTACTACCAAAAGAACAAAAATTCAAACACAGAGCGCACATCAATCCACGACATCGTGCGCTTGAACGTCCTCAAAATATTGAAATATTCAAACCAAAAGAAATGGAGCCTTCAACAGAATCAATATATGAGCTAAGCATACGTATGGATTTGGAGAAGCAAGATTCAGCACTAGGCGCACTTGGTACTGCTGTACATTTGAGTGGTGAAGCAGCACGCCGTGGCGAGGAAATTTACAAAAAGATTTCACTAAATCAAGAAATTAGCGAAAGATTATCTTATAATCGCACTTTAGTTGATGCGCGCCATCCAGCATGCTTGCGACAGACTTTTGATTTAAATACGTTGCCCAGCACTAGTGTCATTGTAATTTTCTACAATGAACCCTACTCAGTGCTGGTGCGTACAGTGCATAGTACTTTGAATACGTGCAATGAAAAAGTATTGAAGGAGATCATTTTGGTCGATGATGGTAGCACAAATGATGAGTTGCACGGTAAATTGGATTATTATATCAGTACGAGAATACCGAATGGAAAGGTGAAAGTGTTGCGTCTTAAAAATCGGTAAGTTTTATTATTTCAGTGTTGTTGTTGTACGCATTGCTATAAAGCTTAAATATTCTTGCTTATATACAAATGATGTACCATATACATGTATGGCTCAAATACCGCACTATTGAATGTTTGCCCAATACACAATAATATTTCATAAGATGCTAAACTGTTGTGAAGACGTTACTCTCAACTGACGAAGCATGACCACAAACTATTGACTGAATTGACTTAGCTTGCGCAGTCAATGCCAAAAGCGGACCATGCCGCTTATAATGCGCAACTAGCGACTAACTTGCTTACCATTGAAAAGAAGCACAAATGATTGCAAGATTGACTTACCACATAAAAAAAGATAATTAATTGTGATTGCAAACGGAAGTGATGCTGAAGAAATTTCTCAAATAAACTAAAGATCAGATGAAATTATGTGAAAGTCGTCAGTCTACTGACATTCAAATGCTTTTGTAATACATACATTCATATATATATAAATTTAAATTCTTTTCAGAAATTTTTCATAATCAGTAGAAACAGCTGAAAGTTATTTTAATGGCAAGCGTAATTTATATGTTTGTTGTAGTGATTTAAATAGAAAATCTTTCGTAAACTCATTAAGTCTGCCATATTTTTAGTTAATATTTGTAAAAATTATATAAAACACAAAGCTAAACTAGCATGCCACACTTAACTATATCTCTCAGCGGATCTTAAGCATAAAACAGCGTCAAGAATTCTTAAAAGTAGCTACTTTAATCGTTTTCAACTATCATATAAGCAAGTTGCAGCTCATAGTCGCTGGTACAACATCCTATTGCATCTCACAAGACTTCATGCAACATACATTTTTTGTTAACTACAAAATAGCGAGAAGTCATCTTGTTAAATATCAAAAAACTGTTACCCATCTTTTGACCTGAATGCCACTTGTCAACTCTTGTGTTATTAAAAATGTGCTCATACAAAGTTGAACGCTTTATGACCGAAACTGTCTCTGCTCGTAAACATAGATTTTTATGATACAGATATACAAACATACATACATAGAGATTTGTCTTCAGTGTCTTCAAACGAACTTAGTCTTCAAACGTAGTGTCTTCAAACGATCATATAGTAATCATTTCCACAATTCAAACTTCGATTAAGGTGCGAGGCTTTTCGTCTATACCGCGTTCGATAGCACCAAAGTCAAGCTTACTAGATTTCTAAGCAGCTTTTCTATTAGTATCTACACAAACTACTTACATATTTATATACAATATGTTTGTAACTTAGTTTGGTTTCGTGGCTAACTTGTTGCTGAGGTGTTTTGCTTAAAACTTTTATTTTTTTTATTTTGTGTGTCTGCTTTTAATTTGAATACTTGACGCTGCGGAGGCTGAAACAGAGTTGTTGTTGTATCATTTGTTTTGCTTTCTAAACGTCAGTGCACGCAACTGTGACTGCTTTACGCAAATACACACACACACACACACATGCACAAACATACCGCGTAAACAGCGTGTAAGAACAGGAGATGTTATATGCACAGCTGCTTATTTTATTTTTAAATTTTCTAACATATGTAAGTGTGTATCATATTCTTGCACTGTGCGCATTTATATTAATGGCTTTGGTTTAATAATGAAATATAAAGCTTATATTGTAATAAAGTAAAATACGATACACTTGCTAGTAATCTGGCGCAGCCTCTCTGTGGCCCACTATCCTCTGTTCATTTGCGTAGATTTTGTTATCTGATATTCCATTTGTTATAACTAAAAATAGCGCTATTAACTATTTTTCTCTCATCCACTTTCTAGTCTCGGTTTGATACGAGCGCGTTTGGCCGGCGCCCGTATAGCCACCGGTGACGTGCTTATCTTTTTGGACGCACATTGTGAAGCGAATATTGGCTGGTGTGAGCCGCTATTGCAGCGCATCAAGGAGTCGCGTACCAGCGTGTTAGTGCCGATAATCGATGTTATCGATTCAAAAGATTTTCAATACAGCACCAACGGCTATAAGTCGTTCCAGGTTGGTGGTTTCGAGTGGTCGGGCCATTTCGATTGGATTGAGCTGTCAGACCGTGAGAAGAAACGTCAGTTGCGTGAATGCGATCAACCGCGCGAAATATGCCCTGCCTATAGTCCGACTATGGCGGGCGGTTTGTTTGCAATCGATCGACGTTACTTTTGGGATAGTGGCAGCTATGATGAGCAGGTGAGTGTGATTTTGAATTTTGAAAATTTGTTTGAATTTATTATGTGGTAGACACTTATTTTTTTGTAAAATTCTGAAATTTGTATTTTTTTCGCGTCTTTAATTAATTATAAAATTTTTGCGTGTTTTTTTGTTATGAAATAAAAGTTCAAAAAATCTTATAGATACATAAGTATATTGTGTTATTATACAATATATATGTGTATTATATTAAAATTTTTTTATTTCAGATGGATGGCTGGGGTGGTGAAAACCTTGAGATGTCCTTTAGAATTTGGCAATGTGGTGGTACAATTGAGACGATACCTTGTTCACGTGTGGGACACGTTTTTCGCGATTTTCATCCTTACGAGTGAGTTAAAAAATATTTTTAAAAACTATGAAAGGATGTATGTACATATATATATTTGAATGCTTTTAAATTCCCTTGATAACATCACGTCATTTACGGACGGATGCCCCCTAAATATTTTATACAACATGTAAAAATAGTGGAAAGTTAGTATTTTGACACTTGTATAAACAGTGGAATGAAATGTTTACTCGACTCAAAAATTAGGCCTATTTATATAGCATCGAGGTTATTGTCAAGTGTAGCATTTAGTTTTAAATCCAAATACGCTCTTTCAAAAAATTTAATATTGCTAAAAAATTTGTTGAAAACATTTTTGCCGATGGCACATACACAAATGTATCCGTCTACTACTAGTATATGTATATATGTCTTTGAATCGGCCGCTAAGTAGCTCAGGTAGACCTTTTCTGTATTTTCTTAGATTTTTTTTTTAATTTTTAAGAGCAGGAAATAGTATACTAGTATTTTCCTTTTGAAGGTTAACAGCACCATAGCTATTGTCTACTAGACAAAGAAAATATTAATTTACAATGTGATCAAAGTAACATTTATTGTTTTTTATTTATTATTTAATAATTTATTTTCTTAAGTGTACTTAGTTCAAGAGACTTAAAGAAATTTTAAATATTTAAACAATTGTATATTAAGCAAATACAACAGTTTTTCGATCAACAAAAAATTCGTATTTTTATAAACATTAAAAAAAAAACATTTTTGATAAGGCAATTGAGATGACAGCGGAATTTTATTCAGCCGTTACTTTTATTGACAGTGCATACAAACGTGCATATACAAATAATATTTATAATCTAACCTTATAGAATCTAAATAGCCACAAAAATATTTTTTTTGTTTTTTTTTTATATATTTTTATAACGTAACGTAAAATATTTATAAGTTAAAATTAACCTTCCGCTTGCTCTTGAAATTTCTATAACTAAACAATCGTTAATTAACCTTTTATGTCTCGCAGATAGCATCTTTTATTTATATTGTCATTTCTAGCTGTCATTGCGTTTTATATTATACATATGTATACTTTAACCCTTTGTTTGCCAAAAAGTCGATGGGATTAAAAAAAAAACATTTGAACGAGTCAGATTATTCACCAAATTGTAGCTAATAACGGCATAATTAGAAAAACAAATTATTAACCACTTAAGGGGTTAGGGGTAGTCAGAGGCACGAAAAAATTAGAATTTTCAGTCATTTTTTTTCCTATTAAATATTTTATTGTTAGCAAAAAGAAAACATTTATTTATTTCATTCTTTAAATTATTTTATGTTATTAAATTTTTTAGATTTTTGTTTTATTTAATATGTTTTTTTAACATACATTTTTGCTCTTAATTAATTATTTTTTTATTTTTATGGTTTTTTTATTTTCATTTCTTTTATATTTTTTTTTTATATTTATATATATTTTTTTTATATTTTTTTTACATTATTGTTTTTTTATATATTATATTTTATATTTACTTATTTTTTAATTTTTAATTTTTATTGTATATTTTTATTAATTTTTTTTTTAATTTTTATTTTAATAAAAGTTTTTTAACGTAATTTATTATTTGAACAAAACAATCAAATCACATTTTTACGCCTCACCTATCTTTCAGATTTCCCAACGATCGCGATACGCATGGCATCAACACAGCGCGCATGGCACTCGTCTGGATGGACAACTATGTAAATCTCTTCTTCCTCCATCGCCCTGACTTGAAATTCCATCCGGATATCGGCGATATGACACATCGTAAGCTGTTGCGTAAGAAATTGCGTTGCAAAAGTTTCAATTGGTATTTGGAAAATATTTATCCGGAAAAATTCGTACCGACCAAGAACGTGTTGGCCTACGGACGCATACGTGCGCTTAGTAAAGATCTATGCGCCGACGATTTGTCGCAAAACAATGAGAAACCCTACAATTTGGGTATATTTTGGTGTGCCAAAAAACTGACAAAATCACAATTCTTCACATTGACCAACACCCAAGTGCTGCGCAACGAGCTCAGCTGCGCCACCGTGCCACATGGTAGGGGCGATGTGCGCATCGTCAAGATGGTATCCTGCATGGACAACGATGACTACAACGAGCAGTGGAGTTATGAGAACGAGCATCTGATACATGTGAATACCGGCCTGTGTTTGGATCATATGGAATTGCGCAGTTCCGATGAGATACAAGTGACGCGCTGTGATAATGACAGTGAAACGCAACGCTGGACCATACAGCACGAAAAGTTGCTGTGAGGGCGTGTGGCGGCTGGGTAGAGTCGGTAGACCAACTAGTTCTAAGTCGAAAGTCAAAGCCATTGTGTAAATATTGCGAATGCTTTATATGCATATGTGTATGTATACATATGTATAGTATGCACAAGTGTACATATGTATTATAATATATTATTTTTGAAAACTTGACACTTTGTAAAGCAGTTAGTCGACGTAAATTAATTTTTTGTGGCACTTAAGTTTTTTTCTGTATGGTAAAGTGCATAATTTAAACACCTACACCGTTAGTTGCTGTCGAATAAACAGTTATTTGTGTCGCGAAAATCCGTAATTATGTAAAAATAGCATTCCTTGTGACACCGCTAATGTTGCACCTCATCTAGCGGTGTTTTTTCTGGGTACACACACACAAATGTATGCATACTCAGCGCATTGTAGTTAGCGAAAATATATTTTTATGTAATTTAAAGTAATTAAAAATACCACAAAAATCACAAAAACTACAAAAACAACATTTTTGTTTTGTTTCGAAAACACAAAAACTATGCAAATTTTATAGTTACTATAACTCGATTTACTATATGACAATAAAACATGACAGTTGAAATACAAAAATACGTAGTAAGTAAACACTATTATTGCGAATGTGTGGTAAAAATCGTTAATTTTTTTCTAATTTGCATTTACCTCTATCTTTACATACTAAGTAGAATGTTTATAAATATTTAGTTTTAATTATACAAAACTATATATATATATATGCATACATATATACACTGTAAGTATGTATACTGCGCTGTGCCCGTCCTCAAATATTTTTATATCTCTTTTTCATACTTTTAAAGCAAAGAAAATGATTATTGTTTTATAATTAGTTTATTTATACATTTATTTAACCATTTTTATAGAAGAAAAATTACATGCAAAGTATAAAAAGTTATTTTTTAACGTGTTAAAAACTTATTTATCAATTTGTATAAAAGAAAAATTAAATGTGAACCACATAAAAATATTTGTAAAGTTTTAAAAAATTAATAGTTAATTTATATACAAAACAATACATGTGAACTATATAAAAATACTTTCTAAAGTTTTATGTAACACAAAATTTGTTTTATTACAGATTTATTAAACAAAAAATTATTTTTATTTTTTATTAAAGTGTTAAAAATTTATTTATCAATTTATGTAACAGCAAATCTATTGTTCACATTTGATTTGTTATAAAAAATATTTTCAAAAGTTCTATACAACACAAGTTTTTTTATTTGTTTATTTTTTAATAAAAATATTTTTTTTTTGTACATTAGAGAAGAAGATTATATTAAATAATATCGCGCATAAATGATAATTTTTGAAACCAGTGTTTTGTTTTTTATAAATAATTTTCATTCAAAACTTTAAAATTTTAATTTTTTACGCATAGCCTTATTTTATAATGGACCTACCACATGTTTTTGTTGTAGCAAATACTTTGTTTTTGTTTACTTTTTCTATAAAATATACCATAAAAATATTTGTACGCACAATTTTCTTTCTAAATACTCCTATGGTGATCCTATAACCTAAAAAAATAAACACATAAATTAACACGATAATATAATTAATAAATCATAAATGTGTAAAAGTAAGTTTTTGTACACGAAAAAATATTTAATGCACTAAAACGTAAATATTTGCAACATTTATGCAGGCAACAAAATTTATAACATACAGCAAAAACAAAAAATAATATATATTTTTATATACAAGTGCATAATATACCATCTAAATATTAAAATAAAATAATAATAAAATCAAATAAAAAAAATATTTATAGAAATATTTGTATGTACTTTATTCAAACAAGAAACATATAAAAGAATTTATTTGTAAAATATGCTATATGAATGAATATGTACATAATTATATACATTTTCCTCACAAAAATAACAAATATTTATGCATATAATGTGTATACACACCAACATATACATTGTACAAGCATATTTACTTTTGTAATATATACTAAACTGCTCTAAGTTCCTTTTGATACCATTCGTTATAAAAAAATTATAAATAATAACAAAAGAAGGTAAACAATTAAATTGTGACAAAATTTAAAGAGTGACAGCCATAAATTAATATAAATATATACACAAATACATACAATATGTATAAATTTAGCCAAAATACTGAATTTTATATATAAATTAAAATATAAAATATAAAAAAAGTAAATTTTACTCACTCCAATGTGTCCTATAAATATAGCTATTAAATGTACTTACGTATAAATGCAACACTGTGGTAAACTTGTCGAGTAAACCACTATAACAGTCAATTCATATGAATTTTTTTTCGATAATGGCAAAGGGTCAGCTGTAGTAAATAATCATAAATATATATTATATATTAAAAAAATAAAAAATAAAAATTTATAAAAATCAGGCATTTAAAAAAAAGGTAAAGTTTAGTTAAAAAAAGGTAAAATAAAAAAAATTTGTTGTTTTGAATAAATGTATAAAAAATAATTAAATAAAATTAATTAGTTTTTTTTGTATATAAATAATTTGTAATTGTAATAAAATAATTTCTTTTGTATATAAATAATTTGTAATTGTAATAAAATAATTTTTTTTCTTTTTATATTTTTATTTTGTAATAATTTTATTCAAAAATAATTTTTTTTTTATATTTTGAATTAAAATATAAAAAGGTTAAATATAATTTTTTAATAATGTTTTAATAAAAAAAAACATATTATTTTAATTTATAAATAAAAATAAATGTTTACATTTACTTATATATATATACAACAAAAAATGCAAATCAGGCATTTAAAAAATTAAATCAATTTTCAATTTAGAAGAAATAAGACATTTTTTTTTACTGAAAAAATAAAAGAAATTATAATTTTTAAATTAAAAAATAATAAGTAAATAAATAATAACACAAATAAAAATTTAAAAATAATTATATTTTCAATTAAAAAATTAAAAATATTTTTACAATGAAAAATAAAATTACAAAAACTTTGAACCACTGTAAATGCAACGGTTCCGACAATTTTATTTTGCTTCATTGCACTTTTGTGTTTACTGATGAATTTTTTATCTTTTAATTTTGTTCGTTCGTAATAAAAATTGTTCGTTCTTTTTCTATAAATAAAAATATTTTGTTGTTGTTGCAATGGATCAAATAATTTTGAGAAATGATGTCGAACTATCAGTCCTTGGTCGGATATGTATTCTTTAGGGTAAATCCATTGATTGTCCAGTCCTCCTCATCTCAGTAGAATTCGGCCTCAGATTCAAATTTTTATTTCGAGAAAAAATTTCTGTAACTGTAGAGTATTATTTAACATTCTTGTTGTATTCTCGAAACAAATTCGGTGAAAAAATGCATTACCCTTTGGGGTCATCAAGCAGTGATCACATATGTAACGATTGATATGGCCACACTCGGTTCTCAGCTCACTTGCGCTCCTTCAATCTCGAAAACCGCACAAACCGTTAATTATCAGTTAAATGTAAGTTGATAGGAGGACAGTGATTTGAAGAAGAAAAAATTAAAGTATTAGTTCTGGTAAATCTGTATAAAAAGTTGTGAAATAAAAAATATACATCAGCTTTATTAACAGGAAAAAAATTATTTATAACAAACAAATAATTATAATAATAAAATTTAAATCAGTGCAGCACAAAAGAATTATGCCATAAGTGCCAAGATTTTTAGAACCTCACATGAAACAAAAAATTAAAAAAAAGAAGTAAATCCAAATGTAAAAAAAATAATTAGAAAAAAAAATTGAAAATTTTAATTATTTTTAAAAAAATAAATAAAAATCAAAAACAGAAACAAATATTATATCCAGCTGACCTTCGTACCAACACTATTATATGTATACGCTCATAAATATCTATGTAAATTTATATTTTACGAATATTTGCTGAAATGTCTACAAAAGCACCTATGTACTCACTCACCTAAAAAATATTGAAATCGAAAAAATATGAAAATATTTTCAATAAAATTGCATTTTTTTAGCAAGAAAAAAAAACGCGCATGTGTTTTCATTTTTAATCACTGTATAATTTACTCTTTATTCTTCATATTTCATATTCTTATTTTTTGTTGTTGTTTTTTTTTTATTTGGTTTTAATATTTTTTTTTTGGTATTTATTTGTATGTATAATATTTGAGTTTGTTTTGCAATAGACTTTTTTTTAGATATTAATATTTGACATTTTGGTTTTGTATTTTTGGGAGTTTTTGGGAGTTTTTGTTTGTTTTTGTTTTTACTTCTCTTTAAGACATCAAAATTGGAGTTCAATATTTATTTAAATGTATAATGTATGTATAATAATATATTTTTTTTTAATTTTCATTTAATTTTCATTTAGTTATTTTGTTAACATGTTTTTCAGATATTTTATTTACGTTTGTGTGTGTGTATTTATATGTTTTAAAATGCCACAAGTGCTGTCTTTATGTATAGTATGTGTGATTTATATGCAATTATGTATGTATGTGTGTATATGCTCGCACTTTGCTCTTTGTCTTTTGTCTGTGCCTGTCTTGGCTTTATTTTTTGCATAATAAATAAATAAAGTGTTTCTCATCGTTAAGTTTGTTTGTATGCATAACAACGGTAGTCAGTGTATCATAATTTATAAATAAATATTTTTTACAATATAATTATATTTTATTTTATTATTTTCTTTATAATTTTTTATTTTTATTATGTTTTTTTTTGCATATTTGCTTGGCTGTAGTTGCTGCTTGTTGTAGCTTTAGCTTTTTTCTTCATTTTTGTTTGCTTTGCCACTATTTATCATTTGTTTGTATGTATTTAAAATATTGTTGTAGTAAAATATTTTTGTTTGTGTGTGCATATCAGTTTTTTTGCTTCGTTATTCGGTATACTTTGGTATTTCGTTTCCTATGATGCAAATCTTGAAATGCAGTTGTATTAAATTTTTAGAATCAAAATTACTGATTTTTAATAAATAATATAATCATTGTTTATTTTTAAATATTTTTTATTTATTATTTACTTTTTTATTTATTTTTTAATTATTTTTTATTCACTTAATATATATGTATATATATTTTTTATACATATTTTGTATATATATTTTTTTAAAATTTATTTTAGGTTTTTTATTTAGTTAATTTTTATTTTATTTTTAATTTGTGGTAATTTGTATCCTTTTAAATTTAAATTACTGTTTCTTAATAAATTTTTATTTATTTTTTATTATTAAAATTATTATGTTTTTTTATTAAAATTATTATTTTTTGACTTTGTTTTTGGATTTTTCATTTAATTTATGTATATTTTTTCATATTGTTATTGTGGTATTTAATTGTTTTTGTTATAATTAACTTTAAAGTTTATTTTTAATTTTTTTTATTATATATTAGTTTTAATTTTTTAATACATCTATTGTTTTAGATTGTTTCAGTTTATTTTTAATTTCCATTTGGTTTATTTTTTTTGTTATGCGCTAATACTTTTGGTTTT